CCCACATCCACACCCATGCAGTAATCAGTGGCGGGCCACCATCGTGGTGAAGTGTGACAATTGCCGCACCCGAAATATTTGAAATAACCGATAACTGGACGAAAATCGATCAGTAAAACGATTTTTCCAGCAATTGTCACACCAAAAATTTTGGTGCTGGCCTGCCACTGGCAGTGATGCTGAATCATAAGAAATAAAGTGATTTGCGGAATAATTTTCTCTTAAGAAAAAGCCCGTCTTCAGAGAATTACAAACAAATATTGCATTAAATTTGCGTTTTTGATTCTGTAGCAACACTATTATTCACTCTCTGAATTTTCTCGGCTTCTTTCTTGAGAAATAGAATTCTTTGCATTGTTACAATAGTTTTTTATATATGTATACGGTATATCAGTGCTTTGACTATATGTATATGCTTAATAGAATTGTAAAAATCTATGAATATTAGGGCTACTCCATTGCTTATTAGTTTCTTCAGTTTTCTTTCAATTTAATGTGAATGATAAGTTATAAAAATCACTCTTTAGAACAGGTAATGACGCGCAAAGCTTCGATCCATATTAAAGTGATAAAAACCAGAATAGAAATTCGAAAAGTAATAAATAATGTAGTAAGACTAATGAGTGAGATGTATTTCATTTTCGCGAGGGATATTTGATGTATGCACACGTACCTTATGTTTTCGTCAAATTTTACGAGCAAGTTTTTTTAATTATTGCTCTCTGACAAAGATTAAAACTTGAAGTTTTCTTCTTATTATTATTATAAGTAAATATAAACGTTTTCATGTTCAGGTCTAACTCCAATATTGTATATTAGTCTTCGCTTTTTAAGTTCCACAACGGGTCGGTTTCCATAACGGACCGATTTACATAACCAATTGAAAATAATTACTCATTATGATTGTGCTGCTGAGTCGCTTCAAGCTTGCAAGTGTAGTTTGAGCTTTTTAATGCGTTCTACGACCAGATATGAATCGAAATTGATCACAAGATGAGATGCAGCTAAATGAATTCACATAAAATCTAAACAAAACAATCAAGAGTCACGAAAAATATTCTAGATGATCATATCATAGAAAGAACATTGTTAGCAGCAATAGTAGTAAGTAAGTCGACGAAATGGTTTACTCTGCCAAATGCGCAACTATTTATACCCCACAGTGCCCTTATCGATATCATCTAATTTCCTACTGCTTAATCGGTATTCATCCTCTAAACTTCTTTTATGTACCCTAATGAAGATAATCCGGTGATAATATTTTTCTTTCATGTGTTATAGCCTTGCTTTGATCATCTCACAACAACGTCATGATTATATTGATCTCTACAGTCGCTATTCCATAGTATTCCAATAGACATCTCCGATCTCTGCTAACTATCATGATCTAGTGATATTATCTTTGTTTGACTTGACATCCTATCCCTTTGATCGTAACGCCATAATCATGATGATATACAGCGCTCCAGTCGCCATTGTAATGCACGCTTTTGATGAACGACAGTGATAATCGGGGTGTGGATGAGTGTGGGTGTGGGCGTGGGCGTGGATGTCAGTGTGGGTGAGGATGTTTTTGTTCATCTCTTCTTAGCCAATACCCACAGCCATCCACACACACCCACACCCACACGCTCAGTGCATAAAGAATAATCTCAAAAGGAAACCGTACACTTTCGTACTTTACCATAATTTTTGCAATTACTTCCTGATATCCTTTTTCGTACTTTAGTATACCGATTCAAACTTCTAGATATTTATTTATGTGCCTTGATACTTCTGTATGCTTCCTCATAATTCATTATAATTTCCCAAACTTATGCAGACTTTTGAAGTATAGAAGTATGCTTTGTCCTTTAGAAGCAATCAAACGATTATATTTATCTTCATTTGACTAATTCATTGAGGTGACTTTCAAATTTTCGAATGTTATGTGAACAATAGAAACGTTTCAATATATAGTTTAACCACACCCATCTAAGAGAAACGTATCTGGTGTGTGTTTCGTTATTCCGAGCCTATTCAGTATTACAGCACAATCATCATATTCTTTCATTTTCTTGTTACATTTTTGATCAATCTCATCTCAGCTCCATTTATCATCTTTAAAAGTGTTCGTCAACGAGCAGCGGCTCGAACTCGACAAATCTACCAGCAACACCTTCGTCAACAATTCAATGATCACAAACAACTTGTGATCAGTCCGATAGTTCTAATCGTTTTATTATCACCTCGCCTAATCATTTCACTATTGTCTGGATGTGTAAAAGCATCTCGTAATCCATGGCTGTACATTTGTGGCTATTTTGTCTCGTTCCTACAATCTGTGACTGTGTTTATTGCATTTGTTATACCACCGGATTTGTACAAGGAACAATTCATACAATAGCTCAAACAATTACAAAATCAATCCATCGATAGCAACATGTCTTCTTTCTTTTTTTCTCGGTGTAGTGGACATTCATTGTGTTGTATGACGTTTCCTGTATGCTGATAAGATGTATATACTGATCATTTGATTATACTCTAATCGCTCTTAAAAAGAAAAGAACGACTTCAGTTGAGGGTCAAGCGAGTCGTAGCGACGAGCATTATTTGTGCTGTTAGTATGGAGAAATAAAATAACAAAAAATATTTCGTAACCTTCAAAAGAGGTGCGTCACGTTGTTTTTTGTGCTCTTTTCATTCCTTCTTCTCGTCTGAACTTTCTTTTCAACCTGTTATCATTGAGATAGAGAGAAAGAATGACGCTCACTTTCATCTTTTTCACGTATAACAACGCACACACATACACGTTACCTTTTTTTGTTGATGCAAAAGAGGTCTGCTATTAGTCGTCATTAACCAATGTTAGGTCGGAAATCCATGCAATACGACGTTTCACTATTGTAGCAGCTGAAGCTATATTCATTCTAACAGGTTGACCGATTCTAAGATGATATAGTTGCTTTCGTTCAACCGATGTATGTGATGGTTTCGTTTTTAATAACATGTGGTGACATAATCATCTGCTCAACCCATACCACTTGAGGATTACACTTTAACGGTCGCGTTTTATAAAAATTCTAGATTATTTCAATAGGCGACAAAAAAGCAACATGGCTGAATCCAACACTAACAAAAACCAAATCGTGCTCGGCTACTGGGCAATCCGTGCTATAGCCGAACCGATTCGTTTGACTCTTCACTATACAAAAACGCCTTTTACAAACAAAACATACGAAGTAGGTGATGGTCCAGAATACAGTCGTGTCCAATGGCTCAACGAAAAGCTCAAACTTGGCTTAGGTGAGTTGTTCTGACGTATTTACCCATGCTTGCCTTGATTTCATTCATTCAGATTTTCCGAATTTGCCCTATCTGATTGATGGTGATTTGAAAATCACTCAATCAAGGGCCATTTTGTACTATCTCGGTCGTAAAAATAATCTTATGGGTACAACTCCACAAGAGGAAGCACTTGTAATGATGCTCTGTGAAGAGGCACACGATGTTCGCGCTAAATTTAGAGCCCTTTGCAATAAACTAAACGGTGGTTCAGATGCCGAGAAGAAAGAATTTCTCGAGACAGTCCTCGGGGTATTTTTCAAGCAGCTCGATGCTCTTCTCAACAAACGGAACAGCAAGTTTGCTATTGGTGATCAACCGACCGTGGCTGATTTTCTACTATATGAATATATCGATTATTGTCTCTCCTTTGACGATGAACATACACTGCTTGAGCAATATCCAAATGTTCAACGACTACTTCAACAAATTCAAGAATTGCCCGAATTGAAAGAATATATTGCAACAACACACGCTCAAGTACCGATGAACATCAAGTGTAAGTGTCGAATGAAGGCAAATGTATTTATTAAATGAAAATTTTTATTCGAATTTTAGCTGCCAAGTTTGGTGCAACTGTCATCAAACAAAAGTGAAATCGGTCAATTGCGTGTTACTTTAGCGAATGACTTTTAGTTAAAGATGATCGATTATTTAGAAATAAAGATTACATTCGATGCCAATATGGCAGTTCGAAATATAATATACTCCAATGATTTTTACTAACTCGAAAGCACAAGTAGCTATAATTATCTTCACCCAAGGAGGCTTGAAACGGTCAAAATGTCATATAAACGGTGTCATATACATTATAACGGGCATTTCAACACCGTTATTTTATGTGATTTTTTTGTCTTTTTCCGTTCGAAAAAGCGTTTAAGTGTAATAAACGGTATTTTTGGACAAAAGAAGTCGTTTCAGCGGCAAAAAAGGCGTCTTCTGGACTGTAGTACTAACAAGAAGAAATGCTCGGAAAGAAGGCTTACAAAGAGATCTAACCGTATCGAGTTGAGTTGATAGAATGTTCAATCTTAATCATTGCTTTCTCGCCTTCTTTTCAATACTGTATAATGGGCAATTTTTGATAGCCACATGGACATTTGGTTTTAAAACACTCCACTACACTAAAAAATACTTTTTTTAAAATAGGTTTTCTCATGTGCTCTTTCTTATGAAGTGATTTCCAGAATTCCGAGGTACTTGAAAGTTAGTTTTTTGAGAGGCCAAAGTGGTCTTAAAAATACCTGGTTCTTATTCGAAAATCATTTCTTATAAGTTTTTGAGTATGCTGATTTCGATTCTAGCAATAGACAGGTTTTTTAGAACCTTTCAGAAGATTTTTTGGAAACCACTTTTTATGGAATACTTAAATTAAATTGTTTTCTATGTTTTGGCAGATGCTAACAAGAGCGCTGACTAGAAAAAAGCACATCGTCACACAGTTAAGTACTCACCACCACCCCTTGGGCCTTTTTTCATGCAGCTGGCCAAGTCACTAAGCTTCTCTTGGATATTCTAGGCCGGTACTTGCAGGTCATTCTTCGTACTGTTGGTATGTATACGCTAAAAACTAAGAATTCAAGCAAAAAACGAAAAGAAATAAAAATTCGAAATAATTAACTATCTACAAGCATACTGTGGAAAGCTGCCCAGATCGATTGTTTCGACCGTCGAAACTATCAGGAATCGAGGGTGGGTGTGGATGTGAGCGTGGATGTCGGTGTGTGGATATGGGTGTGAGTGTTTTGTTTTAACACAACCACATCCCGCACCCACCAACACCCCAGCGTCAAAGCGTTACGTTTGGACAAGCCGGTAACAGAACGTGGTTCATCTTCGTCTTCAGTAGAATCAGAATGTGGTTCATCATTATCTTCATTAGAAGTTCTAATGAAGATAATTATTGTAGAATCAAATTTGGTATAAATATTGATTCAATATGATTCTGTGATGATCATGTAGATAAGCATCATGAAGAAGATGAAGATCAAACTTTTGATTGATTTTTGCTAGTAGAATGTTCATATGTATTTTTTTCGCAAATATGTTCTTACTGATGTCAGATTAAGTAATAATTGTATGCATATATGTTGTTTATTTAATCTTATACGTTTGTTGTATATTTCTGAACAGATATAAAATGAACAAGTTTATTTTTTCTAGATTATATGACAAACTTCAATCTATACATTTTGCTATCCTTTGCTCGCGAAAGCTAAGTGTACACGTACATTTTACTAAATTAAACAAAATGTACGAAAACATTTTGTTTCCAAATTCCATTCGGAACCTTGTTCTGCACGTGTACCTTTAGTTATATCAAATATCTTACTTTCATTAAATCAAAAAAAAGCGAATTTTTCATATATGAATTAAACATCTAAGATATATTTCAATAAAAAAAAAAATAAAACATTATTCTGTGGAATTATTAGTGCATCTATTCAAATTTCTTTTGGTTAGGTACTTAATTATAACCAATGAAATGTTCTTATATCTTATCCATTCATCGATCTGTCTTGTAAATTGTTAAATATAAAATGAGTAAAGTACATGAAGTAACAGCTTGGATGGTTTTAAATATTATTAATAAACCATAGGGACAATCATTAACAAAAGAATTCGATGATAAAAAAGCAAAATATCTTATTGAAAGTATGCCAGTACCAAAAACAATAACCTGGTTTGTTTATCTAAAATTTAATTTTTAATAATGTTTCTAAATAATTTCAATGTTTTCATTTAGGTCAATATCAAATATTGCTAATAATATAAATGAAGAATTTGTTAATCAATTATTATTATTAATGATATATGAACAATTTTTTCAATTTGTTTTTTTTTTGTATGTAATACAAATAAAAATAATCTATCAGATTTATTTCAAACAATAAATGATAAATATAAATCAAAAAAATCTATAACTATTATTATTATTGGTACTAATTCATCATTAATAATATCTTATGATTTAGATAATATTTATGTTGAATTACAAATTGTATTATAAAATATGTTGAAAAAGAACATAATCTTGCTATATTAATTGTATCATTTACAAAAACTATAACAGTTGCATCTGAAAAACATTTTAAAAATCTTTCAACATTTACATTTCATATTGATACAATGAAACAATATAAATCAATACGTATTGATATTGATCAAACAAATAAAACACTTGAACAATTATGAAAACAAATTTTACAATAATTTTCACATATAGATATTGAACAAGCACAAGCTATTGTTAATCAATATGATACTATACAAGCATATAAAAAATGTGAAAACAGAAAATGAAGCTAAATTATTATTAGCTGATATACAAGTTCGACGTGATGCTGGAATTTTTAATTGGTTCACAAATATCAGCAAAAAAATTTGGAAATTATTTACATCAATTAATGGTAGTGATCTTTTGTAAAAGATACAAAAATAAAATAAATAAAGACAGATATAATTTTATTGTGATATATTTGTTCATTGTATAAAATATAATTATCCATATATATTTTTCTTGTTCTCGATAAAACTATACAATTGAAATAGTTCAATATTACAAAATGATATTTATTTTTTTAAAATTAAATCAATGTATTAAGTTATTAAACATAAAAAAGTTTGTCGATTTTGATTCTAAATGTTATCTAGAACAATATCAATCAATTTAAATCTTAAATAATTGAAGATGTTTATGTAGTTTTAGATTGAAAAATAATAAAGAACCATGTTGTTGTTTTTTTATTAGATATTGAAAGTACTAAGCAATATTTTATAAATATATATGAACAAAATTTATGAAGCTTAGTACAACCATTGCATTTTTCTTTCTATCATCTTTATCGAAAAAATCAAAGGTTAAATAGTTATCTTTTTGTCTACATAACATTTTGTTCTTATGTATGAACAACTTGCTGGTTCATTTCGACATACTATATAGACATGATACATGTCTATCTTTTGTTTTTTGAGTTCTAAATCCTTTTGTTTTCTTACCGAAAAATTTCAGAATTATGTCGTAGAACTCTAGCCTTAACAATAAAACAGTATTTATTAATATTTTAATTGATGTTTTATTCTATTATTTAGGTTTCTTAAGAGAGTGATATGAATTTTCCTTTTTAGAAAATTAAGAACACTAGTTAAAATTTCTTCTTACGAAAACTTATCAATATACTTGAAAACTAATTTCAGATTTATCCATTTTTTTTTCTAATTTGAATAGGGTTCAATTTAGAAGTCAAGTCTCTTCCTAAAATGAATTTAAATGCATATAGATGCCTTTAATGTCTGAGATATTCATGATTTTAATACGATGGAATATAGAAAAATAGAATTGTGTACACATCATATCCTGAAAAGTTTTCTACTAATCTTTATCCTTCATTAGATTGTTTTGTTTGGTTTTTTTTTGTATCTTTTAGATATAGAGAAAAAAAACAATAAATTATGTTTTTAGTTGTATTCGATTTTAATCATACAATTATTGATGCTAATTCAGATACACATGTTAATAAACTTTTTCCATCAGATGATGATCGATTAATAGTCGAAAAAAAAATTGTTCACAATTTCAATGTTGGACTGATCGTATGCAAGAAATATTTCATCAATTACATAAATATCATATTAAAGAAAATGATTATATTAAAAATATGCAAGAAATACCATTAACAAATGGTTTTTTTTACATTTAATTATTATTAGTAATTCAAATCTTGTTTTTATAAATATAATTTTAAAATATCATCATCTTTATCATAATTTTAAAGATATATTTACAAATCCAGCTTATTTTAATAAAAATGAACAATATTTAATTATAGAACAATATGGTCAACAAATATGTGTAAACGAGAAATAATTGAAAAATATCTTCATAAAAAATTTTCACAATTAATACCTATTTTATTTATTGGTGATGGATATAATGATGTATGTGCAGCAAATAGTTTACAAAAAAGGTGATCTTATTTGTGCTCGTAGTGGTTATCAAATAGCAAAAGAATTACATATAAAAAAATTTCAAGCTGATTTTTTTTGAATGGAATGATGGAAAACAAATTGAAGATTATATTAAAAATAATTGGTTAAATAAATTTTAATCAAAAAAAAAACAATCTGCTTAGGATTATTCATTGAAGTTTTTAACTAACAAAACAAAAAAATTTGCATTAATCATTGAAAAACAAATATGTATTTTCGACTTATGAGGAAACACCCACAAATGTTTACTAAATTTTTAGTCGAGACTATATTCAGGTGAAAGGTCATAGTGAGTAATATAAAAGTTTCAAGGGATACGATTATCAAAGTTATTTGTTATTGAAATATCACATTTTTCAACAGAATTCTAAGATCTTTCTCAATTATATTAGCTCATTTCTACTCTTAAATATGAATATTGAAATATTATTATGATAAAATAGATAATTTTTCTTTTTATTCTAACATCTCATGATCCTCAGACAACTAAACCCTCTTAGATTTTTACACTACTGATCGTGACCTTTCACCTTAATATAGTCTTGATTAAAATGCAATCAAATGCTTCATAACATCCTCTTATCAGTTTTAATTAAGCAATATTTAGGTGTAAAAGAACGTAAGGTTGAAACAAACATTAATGTATGCCATGTGAAAGAATGCAATTAATTTTGTTATATTTTTATAAAACTAGAAAAACAAAAAAAAACGGAAATGATTAATCGTTCTAAGAAGAAATAACATTTAATACTTGAAGCGTTTAAAGCCTTGTAGTATTGCTTATGTAATGTGTCATCTTAACATTTTGTAGAAAAAAAGAAACTTGTAATAAGTTCTTTTATTAAAATTAAATCATGAATATTTTAACATGTCGATATTAACGAAATACCTCAAAGGATATTGATGTATTTGTTAGAAATGAAATACTATTTATGCTTATATTTAATCAGATTTGTGATTCATCAATCGTTCGTAGTGTACAGGTATTATTTTTTTGTTATTGATGTTTGTTTTTCTTCGGTTAATGTTTTTAGGTTACAAAAAAGGCACAAACTATAAAGGCTATGATTAATATAGAACAAATATTGAAATTGATAATAGTAGTAAATAAGTTTTACGCAAAACATATTGGTCAAATCACTGAGAAAAATTGGTGTTATATATAATGAAAATTTTATTTAAAAGAAAAACAAAAATTAAATCAATATAGACTATTTATTGATGTTAAAAGTACTCGAATGCATTGACTGAAATGCAAATAGTTTTTTTTTTTTTTTTATTTAAAAAAAAAAAAAAAAGAATTTTTATTTATATTTTTTTTGTCATAAAAGAACTTATAAATTTTTAATCTATTCATAAATTGAAGTATCTTATTTGAAAACATCAAAATATAAAGAATGTAAAATTAAAATACGCAATAAAATATGTCATGATATTATCTAAAAAAGAATTTTCATGATATATCTAAAAAAAATGTTCATTCTCATTTCCTTGTTATGTCAATGATAAACAAACAATGTTCTATGCAACTTCCTTTCAATAAATTTCAACATTTATTAGTCAATGTATAATGTAACTATTAAATTGTCTTTGATATGTACTTTAAATATAATAATAAAGTTAAAGATGATGTAAAGAATCATAGAATTTTATTCTAAAATAAATGAAAAGAAAAAAAAAGAAAAAAAACGTATTTATTCAAGTTTTAGTATAGTTTTTGAGAAGTTATGAAAGTAAATTGTACATAAAACTTCTTGCAAAAGTAGTAGCACCACTAACAACCATTGGATCAATTCCAAATTGTTGAGCACTATATTGTAAAAGATCAGCATATCCTCCTCCATATCCTCCTCCTCCATGATAAGTTTTTGCATAATAAGGATATTGATAACCAGGATCATTTAGATATGCATGCATTTGAGCAGCCACATTATGATAATGATGGCCTGTGTGACGGCCCATTCCCGTTGGATAATACATCATGTAATGTACAAGCCAGTAATGTTTACCTCGTTAAGTATTATATATATATATATATGTATATAAAATAACGTCGTAAATCGACATAAAAATATTTATTTCATCGATTGCATTGAAGCGTAACCAAAGAAAGGCATGATAAAATTAGATATAAGATATTACTAGTAAATATTTATTTGTTTGAATATAAAATTAATGTGAGGAAAAAAAAAACAACATTTACACAATATTAAAAAAAAAAACGGAAAAATATTTCTTTTAAGTTGTATGACGAGTTTTAGTAATAAAATGATCTTTGTCTAATATATTTGTTGTATATTTTGTTCTATAGAATTTATTTTGATCAGTTAATGATAAGGGTCGTTTTGTATTTAATTTTTCACATATTCGAGGATTTTTTACTACTGTACAAGGTAGATTTCGTTTTGAATTATGAAGACCATCAACAGGTTCTTCTAGATGATTTTTTGCAAATCGTGCTTGATAATAAATTGGTGTTCGTCCTTGACAATGAATAAGACGACGACTTAATTGTCGAATATCACTCTAACAAACAAAAACAAAAATGATTAAATTGAATTCAAACTAAAAAAAAAAACAATTTATTACTCGAAATCGATTATTAGTAAATCCATAAATAATTGGATTTATTGCTGTATTTGATACTGTTAAAAAATGTGCAGCTATATAAAGAAGTTTAATTAAAATTGGATGAGTACAAAATGTTTGATATGTTGTTCCTTGATAACAAATTAAATTTAAACATAATTGAAATACATTCATTGGTAACCAAAGTATTGCATAAAGTACAACAACAGCAACTAACATTTTAATACCCTAAAAAATAACAATTATGTTTTTTTCTTGATAGATTATACATTTAAAAATGTATATTGACTTTTAATTAATAATTAATTTTTCGTAGACATTCTCAAAATTGATGAAGAATAAAAAGAAAAATATGTTTCTATGGGGAAATTCATCAATTGATATTAATATTTTATAAATAAATTATGAGCATAGAGGAAAAACAAACAAATCTCGATATCTTTTTTTTTTTTTATTTGTCTTGAAAATTTCTAATCTTGCATTAACCTTTCGTATATATATATATATAGTTTATTGATTTATTTGATATAGAATTGAATAACAAAAAAATTTAGATAATAGTTAATTGATTGTTTTTTTGCATGATTATTATTTATTTAAATAGATAATTTCTTTTTTTTTTTAAATACACTATTAAACTTTTATTAGATAAGAAAATAGTGAATATTATACACATAAAATAAGAAAATTATTATTTAAATTCAACATATTTTAAAATAAATTAAATATTTAATATATATATATATTTTTTTTCAATAGAAATAAACGTTTTATTTTCATAATAGGTTAACTTTTTACATTGATTATTAATAGTATTTTAATAAATAAAATTTGTTCAGATAGAATTTTTAATTATTCTAGAGTAAATTAAAAAAAAAAAATGTCAAGATTATATTCTTAAATCTTTGATGTATAGAATTTCTATAAAAACTATATTAAGCAAAAACAATAAGTTCATATATAATGTCTCTATGGGATTTTTTGTTTCTTTCAGACAATTAGCTATCTCAATTGAATTTCTTTTGTTTTGTGGTTATAACTTGAATATATAAAATAACAATCAACAAGATTGTTGTTATTAATCAAAGATTTATTTTTTTTTTTTGCTAGCGGATTTACAGATTATTTCTATAAGAAATTCTAAAATAATTTGATGAATTTTTTTATCTGTATAACTTGTCATTTATACACAAATGGAAATGATATTTTCATTTTTTTTTAATTCAAACAAAAGAAAAAAAACATAACAATAAACATACTTGTTTTAATTTTTTTCTAAATTGAATACTTTCATTTGTAAATAAATTTTTATTTCCAATATTATGAAAATCATAATTTACATCATTTCGATGTTGCCATAATATAAATGCTATACGTAAATAAACAAATGCTAATATAAATAATGGAATAAAATATGTTTGTAAAAAATTTAATATTGTTCGTTGAACTTCAATTGGTCGTTGATTTTTATTTGGTAAACATTGTACTGTATCAATAATATTATAATTTATTTGTTTTAAATAATAATTTGATTCAATTGTATTTGTTATATTATCTAATGTATTTAAATAATTATCTAATAATGTACGTGAATTAACCCATAAACGTTTTTCATGTGTTGGTAATGAACGTGCCGGTGACCATATTAATGCTAATATTATACTTAATATCCATATAATTAATATTGCAATAAGATTACGTTTTTTTGGTGAATAAATTTTAATTGTTAATGGATATTTAACAACACAATAACGATCAATAGCTATTGTTATTAATGTAAGAAGAACACCTGATACAGAAAATGTTTTAAAACCATCAAGTACAACACATAATGCACTTGCATATAACCAACGTTGAAATATAATTGATGTTATTGTAAATGGTATACAATAGACAGTCATAATAATATTAAATATAGATAAATTTAATAAAAATGGTGTTAATTCTGAACGTGAACGACGACCAAAAAAAAATATAATTATTGCTATAGAATTAGTAAAAAATGAAAATATAATCATAATACCATAAATAAGTAATATAATAATTTCATATGTATATAAATCAGAAAATGAAAAAAATGTTATTGGATATTGATTATAAAGATTTTGTAAAGATAATTTTATTGAAATAGTTTGATTGTCAATTATTGTTTGATCTAATGTCATTGTTTATAAAATGTGCAATAGATAAAAATCAAAAAAAAAAAAAAAGAATATTCACACACAAGACGTTTTTCGATCTAGAAAAAAAAAACTTATTAAGAATAATTTGTTCTAATTCATATATAAATGAGATTCATTCTTACTAGACTTCTTCTTTTTCTTTTCTTTTCTTTTTTTTTTCTCTCTTCTGCTTTTTTTCCAACTATTAAGGATGTAATGTTCATTTTGTAT